AGTAATGTTAAAATATACTTCACATAAATTAAGACAATACTGAACTTCCATTTTATGTTGGACATTTTAGTTTAGACACATTACAGTTTTTGAGTAGGTGGAAGAGAATGAGCAAAGGCATGCTCATTGCCAGTGTGTGACTGGTTCTAGCTAAAAGCACTACCCTAGGTCTTATTTGGCTAATCTGTTGTCAGAGCAAAGACAACAGTAACTGAACATGAGCTCTCAATATGATGCTGTGTCCAAAAGACATAGTGTGATCCTGGGATGCATAAATGAGAATCTCAATTAGTAGTAGAGAGGGTTTTTTTACCTCTGTATTTGGCAATGGTGTGACCACAGCTGGAATAGTGTGTTTATGTCTGGTGCGCACAGTTCAATAAGGATGTTCATAAATTGGAGAGGGTTCAGAGAAGAGCTACAGGAATGATTAAAGGAATAGAAAATATTCCTTATAATGATAGACTCAAAGAGCTGAATCTGTTTATCTTAACAAAGAGAAGGTGACTTGATTTCAGTCTGTAAGTCTCTACGTGGGGAACAAATATTTAATAATGGGTGCTTTAATCTAGCAGAGAAAGGTATAACAATCCAATGGCTGGAAGTTGAAGCTAGACAAATTCAGACTGGAAATAAGGTGTAAATTTTTGACAGAGGGTAAATTACCCATTGGAACAATTTACTAAGGATTCTTCATGACTGACCATTTTAAAATCAAGATTGGATGGATACCTAGCACACTCATGGGATTACTTTGAAGAAGTTCTATGGCCTGTGTTATACAGGAGGTCAGACTAGATGATCACAATGATCCTTGTTAGCCTGAGAATCTATGACTCTCTGAATAAGATTGATTGATTGACAGCTGTATCTTTCAGTTATCTTTTTCCTTCATACCCTTTTGTCTGTCTCTTTTAGTAGTAGCCAAGTGTTAGCAGTGTGTGGGTTAATTTTATTTTAATCTGTACCTCTTTAATGTACTGTATGTATTTGGAATAGGCTAGGTCAAGGAGGTTTTATTGATCCTTTCATTATCTCAGAGTTCTCGGATTTGTTTTAATTGCCTTCATTTAGTCTAATTTAGATATTATTTCAGGTAAAATTAGAATCACAATTTAGTTGCAAAAGAAAGTATAAAATTGGCCTGTGTTCTAGGCTAACTGGCTCTTAATTAATTAATTGCATTTTTAAAAAAGAATAATTCTTAATGTCAAGTATTAATTACGTTTTCCACTAATATATAAGGGCAAGTTAAAATAAGTGTTTCATTTCACTACTGATAAATTAATATTTGCTAACTGCTGTGTTATGTGTGTAAGACTGACACCAAGATGGTAGATCCACAATAAAAAACAACTTCTGTTCTAAGATATTCTTTTGGATGATCAAATGTTAACCAGAGAGAAATTTCTGACTTCTGGTTGATAGGGTCATGCATATATAATTGGTTCATATGTTCCCTTGCTACAACAATATAATATACCACCGGGGTCGGGATTGATTTAAGTCACCAATTTAAATCATGATTTAAATCAGCAAGCAGGAAACCATTATTTAAATCATCCATTTAATCTTGTTTTACATTTGTATTTTTTAAATTATTTTCCTAAAGAAAGGTTCATTCTCACTAGTCTCACTTATAATCACTAACACATACCCTTTACACTAAATTTGATAATTCTTTTTGCTAACCATGAGGATATACACATGTATTTAAGCAGTTCTTTGGATTAACATACATTTATTCAGATTCTTATTTTTATGATTGTATATTAAGTTAGAAAATGAATGACACTTTTATTTACTAGGTAATTAATATTTATCCATATTTGTGTCAAGCTGCACTTGGATGGAAATTGAATTTCAATTAAAATGCACAAAACCAGCATTTTATAAATTTTTATTAATTAAATAAAATAACGTTAAATGTGCTGGATACATAAAGAAAAAAAGGTAGTTTTCTCAAAACATGTTCTGCATTTAAAATTGATTTTATTAAACTAAGTATTATTTGTAATAAGTATATTGAACTCATACTTTTGCTATACACCATGTCCTTCAAGGCTTTAGAACTCATTCTCTTGCACTTCATTTTTATTCATATATTGGTAGAGGAAAACAAGCTTGCTTTCTTTTTCAACTCCCAATCAGTTTCTCGACTTGGAATGAACTAGTCATTGACCTGAACTAGTTGAATGAACTGAAATGAAGAAACTGTTTTTTCTGTAACTGCAGAAGAGGCTACTGATGTCAAAAGTTGGTTTTTAGTACTTCAGCAAACTCTAAGCCCAGGTGCTTAGCCTGTGACTTCATTTCACTGGTTTGACTTTCTTTAAAACTTTGGCAACAAATGTACTGCTTGAATATTATTTTTTAACTTAATTTAAATTATTTTAATACATTATAGTAAGTTTAGGCCTTAATATATGTTGTCATGATTTCAAATTTAATTTTAAAGTTTTTTAAATTGATTTTTATCCACTCTACATACTACTGTGGTGTCTAATTAAGAATCCTAATTATGAATGGCTTGCTTTATACAGTTAATGTTTGAAGTTGACTTATGTAATAGTTCTATATATTCTAAATTTTTTAGAAAATTTCTCTCATATCACAAGCCTTAATACTATTTTATAGAAAATGGACACTAGACTAGATTTAGCCTATTAATAATCTACAGGGAAAGGTGCAAATTACTTTGTTATATAGACGCCTCATCTAATTGCATACAAGGGTGGGGGGGGGGAGGGTTTAAATTACTAATAAAACAACAGTCTACATGCATATCAATCTTAGCTAAGGCCCAGGTAGGCCTACTTTATCCCAGACAGCTCCACCCCAGATGTCTGCTTCACAGTAGGATCTGAGTTTTTAACCACCCCATAGTTCTTTTTTAGTTTCCTACCTGACTTCTCTCTTCCTATGGATACAGTTGTATTTAGCTGGGATTAAGGTAAAACTTCAAAATGAATGGTTTCAGAGTAACAGCCGTGTTAGTCTGTATTTGCAAAAAGAAAAAGGAGTACTTGTGGCACCTTAGAGACTAACCAATTTATTTGAACATGAGCTTTCGTGTAGCTCACGAAAGCTCATGCTCAAATAAATTGGTTAGTCTCTAAGGTGCCACAAGTACTCCTTTTCTTTTTTCAAAATGAATGACACCTGCATTGTCCCTTAAGTATCTGTAAATGGTACTACTGGATGCTGAGGTGTGCTTTCCTGCATAATAAGCTCCGCTCCTGCTGGAAATAACCCTTTGTAATCCTATAGCAGACAAAACTTATAAATGTTTATAAAATATTACAAGTGTTTGTATGTCCATCACACCAAGTGTATATATGGTGGATGGTATATAGGACAGAGGGATACTTCCACAGTACCAGATGCACTCCACCTTATAGCTGTAACTTTCCACAGTTCTCTACCTCATAGCAAGTGCTGCAGCCTGCCAGTAGGCCTGCCCTGCCTCTCTCATGTCTCTTTAGGAACACTTTCTTGCTCTCCTCTTCTTTCCAAAGGTAGCAGGCCTGCTAACTGAAGCACCCACCGAGTGGAGGAAACGATGCTTATTCAGTAATAATGGCGTAATCCTGACTAGTGCCTAACTATGTTTGTAGTCCTGCTCCTTTTCATGTCTACTGCCCGTGGCTTAGTCTTTATATTCCTGCCAAGCAGGTCCTGCTAGTCATACGTTTTCCCTCTCCCCTCCTTCCCAGTCACTCTATGTCTAACGCACAGACACCATGGGCACTTATGCGCTACACAGCTCCTGGATCTGCTTTATCTCCCTCTCCTGGCAAAGGTTTTCCTGTGCCATGGTATCCTGATGTACCTCAATGATGTCTTCTCCATGGACAGTTTGTCCTTAGTCCCTGGATTCTTCCCTCTGTAGCCCCTTTCACTGACTTCTTTAAGCTGTTATCCTCAGTTTCTCTCATCCAAATAGAAGGGCAAAAAGTCCTGAGGAAAAGGATAGGCCAAGTCCTTCTCCATTTCAGAGGATGGTGAAATACTCTGCTTCCATTGAGGAACATAATATAAATGCACAAAATCATACAGTGCCCTGAAGAGAAACCTATCTATATGACCAGGAAGGCGAGTAGATGCATTGCCCAAACTGGTTGCCCAAGTTATTAAAGACCCTGAAACTCAAGAGAGCCCCAGGCTTATTCATTGAATAGGAATCTGAAATCCACCATTTAAGAGGGATTATGTTGTTTTAGCTGCAGCTCTGTGACAGGCCATGTCCTATGTTGTAACCACTAAAGGCCTTGGGCAAACTGCGTATATCAAATCTAAGGAGGCTGAGAAAGTATAAAAAGTAGTTAAGGGTCTTTGTTCTTCCAATATGATGTGTCAAATTGCGTTCCATTCCATGCTGTACTTCATCATTGCTAAATGTGGATCTGTGAGCATCAGAACATCTAAATCTCACTTGGTACAGGCCAGGACTATCATTCTAAAGCTGTTTAGAGAGATCCTGTATATCATAAAAGAATGTCTGGACCTCAGCAAACTTTGGCTCTCCCTAGATAAAGTGGTTAATTCTGGTCCTCCTTTCAGAAGCCAAAGAGTAAGCAGGGGCCTAGCATTTTGGCCCCAGAAAAGTAGCTACATCAGTTATTCTGGGCATTTATACCATGCTTGTCACAATGGTAGCTAAACTTAACAATGAAAGCTTGCCTGTTTAAACCTCCCTCCCATCCTTTGGGGTGAGTGGATGACTTATTTAAATCAGTATCCTGCCCTTCAATGTTTTGTTAAGTTTTTGGGAGCATCTTTGGGGTATTGTAAGGTCTTCCCAGCCTTATAACAGAGACATGGGCACCGCACCAAAACCATTTTAGAGAAATGCCTCTTTGACCACATTCATGAATGGGACATCCAGTGACTTGACTGGTGAATTGTGTATACATGGGACTACCAACATCTAGGTAAGAAACCAAATAGTTCTCTTTTCAATTTATCAGAACTGAACATGTATCACTACTTTCTTTTAGAAGATGATCTAATGCAAACATGGCCATTGGATGCTCAAATTTATCTTGAAGACATGTCCTGGAATAAGGGTATGAATGTTTCACTTTTTTATATGGGGAGAGGAGGAATGGGATAGCTAATAGACTTGGCTAGAGTCATCCTGGCTGCTTCCTCAGGGCAGGTCTACACTACCACTTAAGTTGATCTAACTTACATAGCTCAGGTTGAAAAAGCCCCCCCTTGCCCCGAGCAATGCAAGTTTCATGCTGTCCACACTGGGGCTATGTCAGCAGGAAACACTCTCCCACCAACATAGCTTATAGTTTTTGCCAAGGTGGAGTAATTATGCCGACAGGAGAGCATTCTCCCGGCAGCATAGCGCGTCTCCACCAGATGCGCTACAGTGGTGCAGCAGCATTGGTGCATCTGCACCAATGTAACACTGAAGTGTAGACTTGCCCTCAATCTTTGAGCCTCTCTCAGCTTTTTAATGGGCCTTGACTGTGATGACTGGAAATGTTTGCTAAGTTTTCTATATCTCATTTGACATGGTGTTGTTCTGATTTATCTAAACTTCTGTATGTTGCTTGGCTTTCCCTTTGAAATTTGCTTCCTCCCCCTTCTTTTTTTGTTTTTGTTTTCTTTGCTGGTGTTTTGACTTTATTTAATGTTTGCTGGTCTATTCTTCATCATTGTCCACTATTTTTACTTTTTCTCATCAGTCTCATCCTCTCTCATCTTTATAAGTTAAAATACCCTTCCTCAATGCTGCTAGATATAGATTTGGAATTGCCACTTGGCTTTCCATGGTAGTCAATATTTTTGCTCTCTTTTTGCTGTTTTCAGTGCTAGAGAAGACCCTTCCTTCCTCAGAGGAGCAAGTGGGATTGAATCCTTTGCTGTGACTGTTCTCAAACATAAGATTTCCATTTTGTCAATGCTTCAGCTTTCTACTTCATTATAATTTGGGGTTTTTATCATTTGACATATTTTATTTTTAAAAATCATGGAAACTGTAACTTGCCTTCTCCCCTTTCCTCTGCTTTATGCTTCCCCTCTCTCCTCCAACCTAACTTCAGAACTGTTTTTGAATCTTCATAATCTGCATTACTGAGGTCAATTATTAATCACAGAAAATTGTATTTACAGCCTGTCTTCACATAAGTGATTTCCAGACTTCTCCAAGATTCTTTGCATTCTGTCAGAATCCGTCCTCCTTGCTCAGAGTTCACCACTGGTTCTCTGCAGATTCCTAGCACTAGTTCATTGGTGGGGATACACTTTTTAAAATTTGATTATTTGTTTTTCTTAATGAAAAGATTCCTCCCCCGCTAGACACAGGGAGCGCCACATAGTCAATGAAACACTAGCCTTTTATGTTACAGATATAGCTATCTGAGGATGAAATATTGTTGCAGGAACTGTTGTATTCAGCCTCTACCTTTCTTAACAGTGATAAGAGGTCCTTCATAAACTCTGCAAACTTATAACTTCCATCATCAGTTCAACAGTAAGATTGCATATCTCAGTCTTAAACAGGAACTTTGGCTTCAAACAATTTATTTGTGCTCAAGCACTAAGTTTTTAAATTGTTTGTTTCAACAGATGAACATTGTTATACACGCTCATGCCGATGTGGTGGGAAGTATACTGTCTCCAGAAATGAAGCTGAAGAGGTTTCCTTGGTTTGCTGTGACACATGTTCATTAGTTATAGAGATCCTTCGATGAAATAACAGTTGTCCCACTTGCACGTGTTGGTTTCATCCAGCTGAATATTCAGTGGAGAGAATCGGTTAGTAAATGTGTCAGGGAAAAGGTGTGCATTACAAGTGCTAGCACCCTATCACAGCTGAAAAGGAGGGCTTAAATCTATTTTCAAGTTTTAACCAGAAGATCTTAAAGTTACAAACAAAAGAGCTATAAGTGCTTCAGTTAATCAAACTAGACACATTTCTGTACTTAATAGAATGTGAACTGTCCTGTGAAAATGGTGCTTGTTCTGCCTGTTTTCATTGATTTGAAAACTGTCCTTTTCCTGCCCTATAAATGAGTGCTTTCATAATTTTTAATTAATTTATTTACATTCCATTTGTGGAAGTAGCACTGAGCTTTCTGGTCTAGCTGACACTCCTTTCTCCCTAAGATTATATCAGTTGTAGCTGGGGGACTACCTTCAGAATACCTAAGTCTCACATTACCAGCAAAGATGACAAAAGTTACCTTATAAACACTTAACATGAGAAGTATTTTTCTGAAAACAAAACTGTGACACTGTGATTTGAAGAGAATGGAGATCAGCCTAATATGTTAAAATGAGGGAAGGTAATATTCCTAGGAAGCAGCTGCTGTACAAAACAATGGTCCTGTGCCTTTTAAAAAAAATGATAAAAGCTTTTTAAGCAGTCTTACGTTATGCATATACAACTGAATCGAGGGGCTTATACGCACAAAGTTGTTACCTCTTTCCTACATGTCATGTGTTAGTAGACTCCAGTAGTTAAGATCAGAGCCATGTAATAGTTTAATGATGTCTCCCACATATTAAGGACTGCATTTCTGCAAATGTGCCGTTTAAAGTGTTGCTAATACACAGAGTGGTTCTGCCACCTCAAGAATTTGCATGGTGAGTTGTGTCCAAGAAACAGGTTTGCAATCATTGCTTTGTCTAAGTCATTCAGACTTTTAATTTAACTACATTTGTAATATTATGAATGGAAACTTGGGACTAGGTCCACAATAGGATTTAGGCACCAAGTCAAAAATTTAGATCCTCAAGGCCCCTGCTCAGCTGCTGCCTAATCCTGCATGTGGCTAAAATCTCTAGGTGCCTAAGTTGCTAGTGGTGAAATCCCCAACGTGCCTATATTTCTGTGAGTGGACAAGTACAAAACCACTTAAGTCCTGACACCACTGAGCTGCTCAGGATCTGATCTGGTAGGTATTCTCAGAGGCTGCCTAAGAGCGTACCTACTGGATTGGACCACACATAAACCAGGGTGGGGATAGCATTCTCCCAATACCCAGTAACCCAGTGGTTGAACACTCACCTGGGTTGTGAGTGACCTGGGTTCAGGTCCCCACTGTGCCTGGTCTGGAGCAAGGACTTGAACCCAGGTCTACCCCATCCTAGATGAATACCCCAATCACCAAGTTATAGGGTATTGTGGACTGAGTCTCTCCTGTTGTTGCTGTTCTGCTTAAATAGTCATTAGTACAGGGACTGGAACCTGGGTCTCACAGGTGAAATCCTAACCACTGAGCTATAGAGTCACTCTCTTTCTCTGGCCCAGTTAATAATGGCCACCATCACCACCTAATTTTTTTGTGAGAAAGGGCTGACCTGGCTTAAGTGTCTAACTCTATGAGTTTATGGCTGTGAATCCCTTGTGAAGATGGGTGCCCAGCTACCCTTGAAGGGCAGGGCAACTCATGCTGTGTATGTTCTGTGGAATGTTACTGAAAAATGACTGGAGTGGCAAAAAAAAAGTTAACCTGTCAGCACTATGGCTACTGCCACGCGAGCATGGGGTGCCTGAGGACAAAGTATCTAATAGAGAAACAGTACCATGGTACATTTAGCTATGTGAAGTAGACTGATTTTCAACAGAATCTGTGTATGACAGGGTTGCATTATGTAATGTTCTAATAGACGATCTGATAGAGGACAATATAGGAGGTGTGAAACTTAGATTCATTTTTTGAGGATCTCAAGTGCATGGATGATATTGCCTTACCTGGAGAGGCTATTGACCAACTACAGCTAATGCTGGAAGAACTGCAAAAAACTGCAGAATCTATGGGACTTCAGATTAATGATTATAAAACCAAAGCCATGCATGCCTCCTGTAAAATGGAAACAAATGACCTGCCAATGCTCCAAGTAGATAGCAATGACATTGAATAGATGAATAGTTTTATCCATTTGGGTAGTCAGTTGACAGCAGGAAGTGCTGTATCCAAAAGTTGTCATGTTAGATTGGTTTTGCATTAATGACATTTCACCATCTTCAGAGCCCTCTATTTGGGCAGCAGGATATGTGTGTCATAACTAAGAGTTCAATGCAGTAGTGATGACAGCTCTGTTGTATGGACAAGAAACATGGCCATTAAAAACAACTGAGAAGAGAATACTAGACAGTTTTTAGTGTCAAAAGTTACAGCATATTCTTAAAATCCTTTAGTTTGATTTTTGCCACAAACTAGATGATCCTGGCAAGTTGCAACAGTTGAGAACAAGTTGACTGCATTGGTGGGGTTATGTCCAATGTAAAGAAGGAGGTACACTTTTACAGAAGTTTATAGAGCTCAGGTTGAAGAAAGCAGGGCATGAAGCTAACCATGAATGAGGTTGGAAGATACTATTTTGAGAGATTTAAGAAGCCTAAATCCTCCCATCCTGACTCTTGCTGAAGGAAGAGGACTTGCAAGGGACCATTCAAGATGAAAGTCCACTCTACATGCCACCACAGCTACATCATAGCCACGTGAATCTGCTGCTGCTTATGCTCCACCACTCTCCTTAGTATTTTGTTCTGCTTAGCTTGGGTAGCCCCCTGACTCAGCTTGCTGCCTTCTGTTAATCCCACTCTTAGGTGCTTAACTCTCCCCATGCATTGTACAGGGAGATTGGGAGCCTAAGATTAGGTATTGTGATGCTGAGCCGAAATCCCCTGTGAGGATCTAGCTGTTAGAATATAAGACCTGGTCTACACTGAGCGGGGGGAATCGATTTAAATTACGCAGCTTCACGTAGCTGAATTTGACAGATCTACTTACCCTGGTGTCTTCACTGTGGTAAGTCGACTGCTGACACTCCCCCGTCGACTTCGCCTCTCGCTCCGGTGGAGTACCGGAGTCGGGAGAGCACTCGGCCATCAATTTATCCCGTCTAGAGTAGACGCGATAAATTGAACCCACTGGATCGATGGCTGCCCTTCGATCTAGCTGATAATGTAGACAAGCCCTAAGACACTTTCTTGTGCATAAAGGGACTCACCATGAATAGTTTAAGAAAGACAAATAACTTATTCTGTAATTACAACAGTATTTGTATTTAATTTCCATAACTGACTTCTAGAAAAAAACATATGCTGATGTTAATAAAGAGAGACTTAAGCTCAAAGAGTTTGATATCTTAGTCATAATGTTTAATTTTTTGTAAATACAAACACATTGTTTCATTCACTCAGTAAAAAAAAGCTATTAAAGCATTGTAAGACAGTTAAGTAAACTGGCAGAATTCACTTATTAGTTCTCTTAATCATCCAAAAATCTGTGACCGTTGGGGCTAGCACGCAGAAATCCCAAATCATTCAGAGGCCATATCTGTAAAATGAAATATAGTAAAAGTTAATCATTGATTAAAACTCTAATTTCAATGCAGTACTCACCCATTTATCCAAATGGCCTGAGGGACATCAGAAAGTTTAAGGTAACTGACCGGATAAGTAGAGTGCTATTTTGTGCTTCAGTTTCACTGATGTAGAAATGTGGGGACTGAAGGGAGTAATGCTGATGTTTGCTTAATACTTTGTACTTTATAAAAGAGTAAAATTTACTGAGTTTATTAAAACACCAAAAATGTATTAAACTACTGTGGACAGAATTCTGAATTATTTTTTTTTAAAAACTGACTAATCACAGCCTGAGACACAGACACTGTCAGCTGCCCTTGCTGCTGAAACGGAATTAGGTCTCAGTAACTGCAAGTATCTGCTCAGAACCACTATACAAATACAAAACCATTGATTAGTGATAAGGCTAACTGAGATGTTAGTAGCGGGTGATTAACAGGGCTACATGGGCGAGATGCGTGGCTTCAGATAACTAAGACCATTCAAAAAGAATGTGGATAAATGGAATTATACTGTATTTCCATACTCCCAGTCTTGTTTTATATACTTTACACTTCTCACCTTTTAATTCTTTAGTTGAGATGAGTATACCGCAATAGGAAGATTTCCTTCTTATCAATCTTCTTTTTAATACCCTCCATATCTGACAGTCTGTATTATAGGGTAATATAGTAATAAATTTTTCCTGCTGGCTGGAGGCAGAACAAAGACTGACAGCCAGCCTGAGGCCAGGACCACCCTTCTGTGAGGAACCCAGAATGATTGCTTCCAAAGCTGAAAAATATTCCCTGAATATATTAGTATAAGTCACTTAACTTAGATATATGAACCTCATAGCACAGCCTTAGGAAATTTATAATATGGGACAGCGGAGAAAAACAACTTCAGTTCTCAGACAAATGAATCCACGCTGGTTGGGCCAGAATGTCGGACATGGAGAGTATTACAAAGAAAATTCAGTTTTCCTTTCTCACCACATCCTACCCCCAACCCTTGTGTCTGACAGTCCGTTCTGTGGGATGTGGAAAGCATACTCAACTATGGGGGTGGGGAGAAGGGGCGATTCAGATTCTCACACAGGAACTGGGGCAGCACATTTTGCAGTACCCGTCTCCTGAATGCTGCATTAAAGGAAGAAGAGACATCAGTGCTTTAATGCTTCATGAACAGGTGCACTGATGTCCACATAGCTGCCTTACAGATTTCACATTAAGCACCAGAGCTTTCTGCCCAACAAGTTGCTGAATTCCTTGGAATAAGATGTGCGGTTATCCAGTGGATTTGCTCCAGATACTCTGTAGGCTTCAGTAATATGTGCTTTGCCCCATCTTTCAGTAGAGGATTTAGAGGCCTGCCTTTTATCTGAAAAGTAATATAAGTTCTGTGGACCTCCAATAAGTTTTCATGCTCTTGATTTAAAGTACTCCGCTTATATCCATTTCATGCCATTCAGTTTCATTGGGAAGCCTAGGCCTGGAGCAGAAAGAAGGCAAAGCTGGTTCTTGCGACCTGTGGAAAGGTGTTTTGGAATAAATAATGAGTCCATCCAAAGAATTGTTTTGTCCTTATGGAAAATGCATAGATGAGCCTTCATAGACAATGCTCTGAGTTCCGATATCCCTTTTCTAGCTGAGATGACTGCTCCTAAGACCCATTTTGAGAAAGAGAAAGTAGGTCAAAACAATGTAGTGGTTCAAATGTTTGTTTTGTTAAGGCTCTAGGACAGGAAGCTATGTACCACAGGAGGACTAACGAAGGGTTGTGCTAACTAGAAATCTTAGATTCCTTACCATTCCAAACACTTGCTGTGACAGCAAGCTGTATTGGGCTTGATACCCTTAGCCCACCCATCCTTTAGTACCTCTGAGATATCCTTTACTTTGGCTGTCTTGGTATTTAATGTCTTTTGTAGCATCAGTACTGGCGTTTGGGCCAAGTGATTGCATACCTTGTTGGCAGACCCAACTGAGTATCCCAGACACCTCTGTTCTCCCCTTTCAGTTTCCACACGATTGGTTTTAGCAGCAGTTTTGGGTTCTGGATCAGTTCCTGGCTTAGACTTCCTTCCCAAGTTGTTAGTTTCAGAGAGGGTTTATGAAGTCCAAGAACCAGAGGTTGCAGGACCAGTGAGGGGTGATCAGGCTCACTGTGGCTTGCTCCTTTAAAATCTTTTCTTACTGCCCTTGCCAGTACAGATACAGGAGGAAAGTTATAAAGTAAGCCTTATGAGCCAATTGCTTCCCCTTCTGGTTCTTGTCTCCTGATCTGGTCTCCTTGTCTGGTTAATGTCTCACCATCTTTTCAGTTTTCTCTCAAGGTCAAGAGGTCTGTGACTAAACCCCTAACTTTTTTGACATCACCTGAACTGTTCATGGATTTAGACTCTTCTCTCCCCCCCCTTCACCCCCAGTCCAGGTCCATCCTCCTGAATCAGCATGCTGTTGCATTCTCCCTCCTTTATGTGGATGGCTTTCAGAGAGATGATGATGCTCTGATCAAATCAGTAGACTAATTGCTTCCTTATGGAGGGAGGAAGATTTCCTTTGTTGATTGACACAGGTATAAGCAGCAGGTATAATAGGTTAGGGCAGGCTAAGCCTCCTCTGACAAAGCTGCGGCCGCCAGACACTGGTTGTGGGGTTTGCAGGGGGAGTTTTTGCTTATTACGCACCGTGTAGGTTCTGAGGCGACTGAGGAGGGGGTATGTGCTACTCAACTCCCTGGATTCATCAGTAATCTTCCTGGACATAGGTCATTTTGATGGTGTCTGTATGACGCTGATGCTGTGGCTGTTGATGGCCCGTAGCTCTAGCCACTTCATATTCCCCTTCTCCAAAATGGACCATGTCCCTTGGGCTACTCTGGGTGGCATTAGTGGTAATCATGAGTCTTACTGATTCTGAAACCAGGTACTCCTGTGGGAATCACAAAGGATGAGTCCATCTCTTGAGGGAGGAAGTGACTGACCTGAGATCAGTGATTCTCAGATCCTGAATGGTAGCAATTTCTTTTCGATAAGACTAATCCTAGACATCTCCTAGGTATCCAGCATCATTCCTAAATGCAGAAATCCCTGAGATAGTTGGAAGTGTCTCCTCTCTATGTTTACAGAAATCCATGATTGTATAAGTCTCCACTGGATCCTTAAGGACAATCTGATAGAGATACATGTGTATCCTCTTTCTGACAATGGCTGTTAAGCCCATCAGAATCTTGTGTGATGACCTTTGGGGTAGTCACCAGTCCAAATCAGAGATTTCTGTCCAGAAAATGCTTCACATTGTAATAGAGCACAGACATTTTCAGTAAATCTCCCTGATTGGCACATGAAGATAAACCGCTTCGAAGTCTCTTGAAGTCATGAAATCCTGGGTGACAGCAGCAATGACAGATTTAGGATTTCCATCCAAACTTGAGAGATTTATTAGACTTAAGATCTAAGATGGCTCTTGTGTTCCTATTCTTCTTTGGGACAAAAAAGAATAAAGTACACACCACAGAATCTGTCTGGCCGATCCTGATTCTATGGTTCAAATGCTGAGACCCAGTAGAACTGTCCCTAGTATCCATTTGCCTGATGTAGGTGTCTCCTGTAAGTGGACAAACTTATCAAGCCTCCTCCTCTCCCCCCTACTCCATCCCAAGATAAGAGGTAGTGTTGGATGTGGGGCACAGAGTCAGGTAGATGATTTATGGTTTGATGCAGGTTTTCCAGAAGATCATTCTTTGAAGTTTCTTGATCTATTGAAAAGGGACCATCTCCGTCTTCCAGATATGAAGTCTCTATGGATTTCTTGTGCGCTGGTTAGCATAAATCAAAGACGTGCCAGAGAAAAGTTCTATAGCTCTCCTCAGGTCAATGACATGGAAAAGACTTTCTTCCAACCTGCTTCTGTTCTCCCACCACCACATCCTCACCATACATCTTGCCGCCTAATTACTTGGCCGAGATCATAAGGTGTTTTACTTGCATATTTGCTTTCCAGAGATGGAGCCAGAGGTGTCTTTGGGCTACCAGATTAGATGCCATGGAGCAAGCTGTGAATCTAAGGGAATCCAGAGAAGCATTTGCTACAAGAGAAGCTGCTAATCAGATCTTATTCCTATTTGGTTTCAGTTCAAACTTGTCTTCAGTTTTTTTATCTTGATCCTGGCCTGATTGGGTCATACAGTCTATCCATGCTAGACTCACCCGTGGCTGTCCCTGAGGCAATTAGTGTCTTTTACTAATGCAGTGGCTGCTGCATCCACATTTGGTAGAATGACCAAATATTTCTTGTCCTTGGGTAAAGAATAGAATCTCTGCATTTTTCTGTGTAGGATGCTTAGCTTTGCTTGGGAGCCCATTAAACCTCGATTACTTCTTCAAACACTGGGGATAATGAAATACATAATTCTCTCTTTGCTTTAGTTGGAAAATAGTTCTGAGATGCTTTTCTGTTTTTTTCTGGGATCAGTGGCTCCTGGAGAGTTTCATAGAGTGAGTAGGATGAAACAGGTTTGCTCCAGCAGGCAATCTGGCTTAAAAACCCTCTGCCAATAGAGAGGGGTTTTAAAAAAAAAAAAAGATTTACATCAGTTTTCCATGAGTCTCCAGTTAGTCTAATTCAGATGATTTTGGTTGTCGTGTTCTGAAAGGCTCTGCTACAAAGGGGAGATCCTTGGTCTGCCTTCTGCCCAGGAATGGAGGCAAAGAAGTCTGGGGTTCTCCACAGAGAGGCACTCTCCAGGCCCTAGGCTGGCTGTTAATCTTTGTTTTGCCTTCAGCCAGCAGGGAGAGGTGGAATAACTCACAGTACAGACTGTCTGACATGGAAGACAGGTGACTTTACACCAATCATGATTGCTCAAGACATGCATAATTTTTTAAAAATAAACTATAGCAACTGAGTTTTGTTTGTTCTTTTTTAAAAGTAAAGAAGAAATGTTCTCTCAATAACTACAATGTGGTGTTATGCAGATTACTGTACACTGATTTATAGCTATAGCAGAGTTAGACATCTCATTAGTTTCCTAAAACATACACAGTGTTTTGAAGTATAAACTCACCCTTGCTTGTTACACACCATATGCTTTATTCTCATCAGCAGAACATTAATAATCATCAGTTGGCAAAAGGCCACCTCAGACTAGAAAATATAATACTAAGTGGCAGTTCTCTAATCCTGTCACAGTGACTGGAGATTTTTCAGTAAAATTATTAACACTAGATTCTCACTAAAATAATTTTAATGGGCTCACTAGTTACATATACATTTTAAGTGGGTGATGCACTAACTAGCTTTATAATTTTGCAGGTTTGGGTCAAACGTTAGGCCACAACTAATACACAACTTATCCTTGTGGCTATTTGTCAATATCACAGAATCACCACCCTGTTTAGAATAATCATTGTTCTATTCTTTAGAAATGCATGTTAAGACAAACAAACATTCAGGGATGGAACAGCTATAACTTGTAATGTGCCAGGGAGACACTGATGGCAAATGTTTTAATAACCCATAAAGAACAGAGGTCAGACAAAGCTGAGGGGAAAATGTTATTTCAGGTTTAGTAAGCATTATGGTCAGTAGTTGCAAGATTCTCTGAAAAGTGAAAATGCACTCCTAACGATTCTAAGCTGCATTAATACACACAATATTTTTTAACTAGAGCTGGGTCTTTTCTGAGCGCACATGCCAACTGTGCTGAATTATAGTATGTGGTGGTTTTGTGATGTATGGCAAATACTGACCAGCAACCTTTTACTTTGTCCGCAGCAGGATTTAAACCTAGTTTTTTAAAGCCTACTGCATGAACCCACTAAACTGTACCAGCTTGCTCCTTATAGTAATTGTTTAACAAGAGAAATTAATGCTAGTTCCTTATTTTTGATAAGTGATTAAATACAGTTGTACACACTGATTCATAATGCAGACAGAAATAATATGAAAATATAATTAATAGAAAATAGGTTATAGGACTATTAAAGGAAACCGTAAAAGTAAGCCTACATGGTTTATTGTGTAACAAAACATTTAACAAGAGACTTGATTCATATCTAGAAGTGAAGGGCAGATAATTATGGTGGACCTGTCATGAGTTAAAGTTGGTTCAGAGATTTCAGTTTAACAAGTATTAAGGGTGATGTAGTCCAGTTAGTAGGTCTACAGTTAAGATCCTAAAGTAATTAGGCCTGGAAAAGACAACCTCCCCTCAGTCACTGTTCTTTGCAATATGGAACTATGGCTCAAATGATATTTTGTTTAAAATTATATAAAATAGCTAAACAGAAAATTATACTGTTTCATCATTTTGGAAAAATGATTACAAAAAAAGCAAGGTGGGGATGGATTGTATTCCCCACCGGTAGTAGCCAACATATATGGAATGGGTATAGATTCACTTGCCAAACTGTTCACACAACCTTAATGACGGTGATCACTTGAGGTGTACATTTTCACGTGAAACTATTTATCTTTGTCCCAAAAATATGGAGAGACTTTTCTTGAAAATCTAAAAGGTCCAAGTTGTTCTGATAGTCATCCCCATTTAGTTCAGTGATGTTGCTAAGGATGGGAGTAGACTTTCGCTCAAATATTTTTAAAAAATGTTTGAAGTAACTGGTTTTTAGAGTCTATAGGTATACCTTGAAGCAAATGCGTCCTCTTATCAGTCCATAAGGAACAGGTCCATAACACCTGGAATCTGTAGAATTCCTGAGATTATCTCCTTCTAACCAAACATGCCCTTTAGGCACCTGCAGTTAGGGAAGATCAAAATACAAGTTAGACAACGTAGAATGTGTTTCTTTAAAGGAAATTCAATCCCCCAAGATATAACCTGTAAAGTGAACCCTCTTGTGTCTTCTTGTCATTCCATGAATTAATACTTCTATGGTCTCTAAAACAGTGCTAGATTAGAAAAAAAAAATATTTCCAAGTATCTGTTCTATCACATGCTCCAGAAATGCTAGTTTGCAACAAAAAATCCAAAATGAAGATGTAAAAGGTTAGACCAGTATGACAGGGTCATTAATTTAATAGACTTCAAAAGAGGTCATTAGGATGTTGACTGAAAATCTGCCCTCCTGTCGCAGGAACAGCATGAACAAGGCAGCCACACACTCATCAACATCCTGGGGCCAGCACCAAGGCTAGACCTGTTAGTAGGCTCATGATGATCTAAATGGTAATTGATTGTGACATCAATTACGAATAATCTCATCATTTTATCGGAGTGGGGCTTGTCAAAGTTCTAATTAAGATCACAGTTCATTCTATGTGCAGGCAGGATCCACAGCACATTATATTGCAATAATGACCATCACAAAACAAGTCTCTTTTTACAATTTGAAAATTAATGATGGTGACCTTATACTATATGACAAAGACCTTTTATTGCCTATATGTTCTATGCATTAACTATATTACATGCTGTAAGTTCAGGACCTGACTAACTCAATGAAAACATAAGAAATAGAAACACAATTGCATTCAGGGGCGCCGAAACAATTTTATAGTGGGAGTGCTGAGAGCCACTGAACCAAACTGTAAATCCTGCACATAATGGAAACCACTTCAAGCCAGGGTGTGCTGCAGCACCCCCTGCACTCCTAGTTCCAGCACCTATGGTTGCATTAGTAACCAGAATAACACAGTTCAGAGCTGCGTACATTTAACCAGCATGAAAGAATTGATTCAAAATATATAGCATGCAATGACTAAGATTCATGCTGGTAAGACAAAATAGAATCACTGAACATTTCACAACTTCAGAAAAGGATAAGCTCTTAAAAGCAAAATAATTCTTAAATACTATATTTGATAGTTTATATGCCTAAGAATCTAGGGTAGACTTAAATTTAACAAATACCTGTAATACTTCCTACCAACCACTACATAGTAGGAAAACAATCAAACATAGGCATCTTAACGTAATGTGAAATCTCCCAAAATACCAATGTTTAAGAAGCAAGCTACTTAGGACAACTTTACTATGCTCCTATGTCAGAATGAAACTATAACCAGATAAAGGGACAAAACTTACCTCCAGCATAAATATTTAATTTCAGTTGCACATAAATAAATATTAAATTTGTAAAGTATGATAGAAGGGGGAGGGGTTAGAATCCCTAAGACAATTAAAGCTGTAGTGAGTCTAAGCAGAAAATAGATACCTAAATTTTATTACTAAAACAAGTACTGTCACAGAATTATATAAATAGAATTCAAGGATAGCTGATTAAGTAGTGTAATTTGACTACCACAGGTAACTGCTCAGGTCAGACAGAAACTGGATGAAAACCATCAAGAATAGAAACAGACTAGTCTGGAAAACATCTGCAGAGGATGAAAGATGTGAAACATTATCTTCCACAGTTGAAATCTAGTCTTAAGGTAATTCCACAAAAGGGACTTAGGCTCAGTGTTGCAGTGTCCAACATTTAGGTGCCCTAGTGTCCAGTAGAATTTACAGCCCCAAATTAGGTTTAGGTTTTGTCCACTTGGGTTTTAGCCCATGAAAGCTTATGCCCAAATAAATGTGTTAGTCTCTAAGATGCCACAAGGACTCCTCATTGTTTTAATTAACAAAAGGTGGAAATCAATAAAAGACAATCAAATTTCTAGAGTCCAACTGATCTGTGTAGGACATCCATCTCAGCATATGTTCGCAGAGTCTCATCTGTAGATCTAGGTTTTAGAATGAATTGACGCTTCCACTTTACTCAAATTTCCTTCATGTCTGATGCTAGTTATGCTTTAAATATCCCACTGCAAATACTCGTGCTATTTACTGCTATTGACAGCTTACCCATGCACAGCATTCACCACAACCACTTCTCCCTCCCACCCATGATTTACTGTCAGATTCAGTCCTGCAGTATTACATGCAAAGGGGAAAAATGACCTTGCTGGTGTAATCCACTACCCCATATCTCCCAGAGCTACAAATGACACATCAAACTACTGTATGCAGTGTTGTAACAGTCCCATGATATTAGAGAGAAAAGGTGGGTGAGGTAATATCTGTTACTGGACCAACTTATGTTGGTGAGAGACACAAAGTGATCACTCTATATCTGACCTATCAATCCTCATCCTCAAAGGAAACCTGCACTACACTTCCAAAAGACTTTGCTAGACACTAAAAATCATGGACTGAATAGATCCGCTGGATTTATGGCTTATTACAACAATCTATAATCCACTAACAACCCCACCCCCAGTTGCTTTCCCACCTCCCTATGATTGGAGGAGTGTTAACGCACCACTTCACCTTGAATGGTTCCTTGAAGTGTGTGTTAACTACTTATGCTAAGAAAATCTGTTGAGTTGTGACATTCTGGTTTAAGTTTCCCAGACCTGAAGACGAGCTCTGTGTAAGCTTGAGAGCTTCTCTCTCCTCAACAGAAGTTGGTCCAATAAAAGATATTACCTCACCCACCTTGTCTCTCTAGCAACAAACTACTGTCATTTGAAAGCAATATCTGAAATATCAAGTGCATAAAAGGTAACTGGCTCGACTGACTATAGCCCAATGAAAAAAAGAGGCCCTGACCTGACCTGGAAAAGAGTTCTGTATAAGCTTGAAAGCTTGTCTCACCAACACCTCCCCCACCTTGTCTTTTTAATCAATCCTTCGTCATGCAGGGTTCTGAAACTGTCTCGCACCCTGTGCGGTGTCTGATCACCACGACACAAATACTCCTTCTCCTCCATCTCACTTCATTGGTCACCATGCTCCTTTGCTTTGCCTGACACACGGCAAAGCAGAGAGCTAAGTATTCATTAGTAAGATAACGCGTAGGGGTTGGTGGACTCCAACCACTTGCAGAACAACTATGCACAAACATCTGCAGCCATTCACATCTTCCTCTGCTCCTGAGCAGAAATTATGTCAGCTCTGGCCCATTTATTTCCTATATAGTACTATAAATGTGCTTCACTGGTTATCACAGTTTGCATCCTAGAGAGCATATCTGCAATGAAGAATAGTCTTACACCATGAAATACACAATTTTGGTAACTTTTACAAATCCTGATGGAAAGCATGACAGAATTCTGCATATCAAAAACTGATTTTAAAGTATTGTCAAAATGTATGACATCTAAAAATAATACAGTATCATACTTTTATATGATGGGTGCCCATCATGTAGGCACCTCGCTACAACCAAGAATTAAGACAGGCCACAATCAATAATTTAAAAAAAGTTGTTTATGCCCCTTTAAAATAAAAGCTAAAGCCCCAGTCTTCCAAAGACTTATGCAGATGCTTAACTTTACACTCTGAGTCAATCGATTCCATGGGATTATTGAAAGTGCATAAAGTTACATATGTGCATAAGTCTTTGCAGGATCAGGACCTTTGGCCCTCCTAATGTTGGAAGGCAGGGCATTCCAGAGCTCTTTAGGAAAAATATGGCTTTGCTCATTCTAGACCATACTTTCAATACCAAAAGTGTAATACCTTTCTTACCGAAGGGTCAAGAAGATATATAGGGCAAAAGAAGATCAGCAAGATATTGGGACCAAATCTACTGAAAGCTTTAAATTTAAACAACAGCTCATCAGAACTGCCCCCTCCAGACAGCTAGTGTAGAAAACAAAGCAATAGGTAGACTAGACTCTCCCTCTGTACATCCGTGACAGGAGTAACACTGCTGCATTCTGCACTCACTGCACGTGGTGGATCAGCTGCTTAGCCTTCTATGACAAAATTAATTATATCTAAATGCGGAACCAAAAATCCCAACTCTTAAATTCACATTTATCCTTGGAACAAGACTGTGATAGAGAAAATCAAATTACCTAATATCACCATTTCTAGTATTCTCTCATCTTAGGCATGGTCTACAATTAAAGTTTTACTGGAATAACAATGTCAGCTCGGTATGTGATTTTTTAACCAACACTATTGTGCCAGAAAAGCCCTAGTACGGATGCAGTTACACCAGTATAAGGTACTTTATAATGGCATAGCTTATTTCACTTAGGTTGTCTCGAATAAAATATACTGGTATAAGCACTTTTACACTGATATAACTACATCTATGCTAGGGGAGTTCTGTCACATTAAGTACGTTGGCATAGTTAAAGTAGCAAAACTTTTAAGTGTGAAAGGCCTTAGAGTTATACTGATTTTGTACTTCTAGAAAAGTAAGGGTTTATAATTTATGTATTTATTTTTTAGACATAGATAAAGTTGCAAAAGGCCAGATTCTGCACCCTTACTCACATTGAGTCATATTTTACTATTCAAGTAGTCTCCTTGATTTCAATTCTATTTTGTGTATGAGGTGCCTGTACTGATTTCTGTGGGAATAGCTGAGGAGTAATGGGCTATGTACAACGTGAACAAAGGTGGAATCATCTAACATCAAAAGAATTTTAAAAAGTAACATTTACTGCCTTAGCGGATTTTCTCTATCATTTTTGCATACATGTAAATATGCAGAAATAATTAAGTAGCTGTATTTTTTTCTAAAATAAAAAGCACAGAGAATTATGTACTCGTGTTCTTGTGGTTTCTTCTTTCAGAATTCTACAATAGCCTGTGCTTTTCAAAGGCTGAACTTTCATAAGGTCACAGGTATTCTAATCACCTTGAGCAATATCAAAGTTTTAAATTTAAAAAGAACCCTAAATCATTCCCATTTTTTCTTTTCAGTTCAGAGGCTTCCTTCTTGAACTATAAGAGCTAATCTCAGTGCTGGACAAAAGAATAAAGTCTCTAAGTTCTCATCTATCCCTACTG